GTCACCTTTAAACCATGTGAATTACATAAAAATTGAGTAGCAGCCCCAAATATGTTTACAGTGAATAAATTCTTCAATATAGTAATTTAACCCTTTAGGATGGGGACTTAGACAGAGTTAGGACAAGAGGAATAGATAGGTAGAAGAATTGGAGAAGGTTTCAAGTGAAGCCAGAGGAGACAGGATGACCTCTCAAACTTCAGGAAACTGTTGAAGATAAGAGGGAAAGACAGAGTGCAAGAACAAGGACAAGAATAGAACAACGAATAGTAATATGGACTCACTTTCCTTTGGAAGTAGTGACCCTTGAGTGAAGGAAAAAGAGAAAAGAAAAGAAAGAAACAACAACAACAACAAAAGAAATCTGAATTAGGGCAGATACAGGAACAGAAAGGGAGATGAAGAATAATATGGGGGGGCAAGACACTGAGTGGGAAAAAGACAGAAAAAAGGATTTGCAAAATGGAACGAGGAAAAGAAAGTAGAAAAATAATTTGAAGGAGCTCTTTCATGCTATATCTCTGCTGTCACAATAGACACTGTGCACAGCAATATGCAGAACTAAGTCCTTTAGTCTCAGCTAGTCAGTGGCAGACCCCTGAGATTCAGGATGAATTTGGGCTGCAAGGCCCAAATTGAGCTCCCTGAGCACCTGCTGGGTTGAACTCTGCAAGGTTCTACTATAGGTTTCCTTTGCCCTTTCTCTGAAGATAGTCAAAGTTCTGATGGAAGGTAGTGATCCCTCCAATTTACCAACTATGGAGGTCTGATGTGCCTTTATTGCAGTTCACTTTAGCTTTATCTTCTGGAGCTCAGTCAGATGACCTTTATGACACTGCATATTTATGTCTCTGCACAGTGGATCCAGGAACTGGCACAATCAGGAGACTCAAGATCATGAGGGGTTATGTTGCAGAGGTGCCTGTGTGGCTAACTGGTCCTCACTGGTCTGCTGGATGCAGGCCAGGGTGAGGGTGGGGTCTCTGTGCAGCTGACACGGTCCTCCACGTTCTGCTGGATGTAGGCCGGGGTGAGGGTGGGCTCACTGCATGGCTGACCAGTCCTCACTGGTCTGCTGGATGCAAGCTGGGGCAAGGGTGGGCTCACTGCATGGTTAACTGGTCCCCACCCATCCACTGGATGCAGGCTGAGGTGTGGGTGGGTTCACTGCTTGATACCCAGTCCTCACTGGTCCAATGGATGCAGGCTGGAGTGAGGGCAGGATCTATGCACGGCTAACCCAGTCCTCCACATTCTGGTGGATGCAGGCTGGGTTGAGGGTGGGCTCACTGTGCCTGTATTTTCTGATATCGGCAGTGGGTCGAGTTACAAAAGCAGTGTTCACTAGTTGTTGATTTTCTGCCATAGTTGGATCAAAAGGAGTATACATTCTGTATCCCTCATAGAGTCTCATAAAACTTATCATTGCTTTCATCTGGTCTTGTAGGATTTCCATCATCTTTAATCATGTTGGTGGGCTTTTTGCTAGTGGCTTTCATTCCTGATAAAAGAGAAACTCTATAGTTTGTCAGCTCATGCTGCCAAACTGGGGTATTTGGATCCTAATTTGGGTGGGCATTCACAGAAAATTGGTGTTCATGCCATTTATCAGGGTTTTGTGTTCCAGGTGGCATTTGAGGGGTATTTATCTGTTTTTTAATCTCCCCTGTAATCCTCTGAATTTCTTCAGTAGTTAACATAGCCCTACATATAGTCTTCCCAATTGGGATGATGGGTACAAAATATTGATTCAAACTATTTAGTCATTTTTATTGTATCCTCTGTGAAAGGGGGAGTTTCTCTTATCCATTTAACTAGGTCAGTAGAGCTAAAAGGCTGGTGTGCAAAAATGATGCCTCATTTTCCTGGGTATACTTGTAACAGCACTTGGAGATTTGGTCCCAGCTCCATAGACCTAGTTCTTTGAGCTATGGGGGTACCATTGGGTGGGGAGATGCAGGCTGCCCTGAACTGTCAGGAGCTGGAGTTTAGGCATTTGCTCTGGGAACTCCTGCCCAATAAGGAGGGGAGTTATCTAATAGGCCTTTTACATCTTTTTCAGGGTCTGATTGGGTCTTAACAACAAACAGCTGGGCTTCCTTGTTCATTGCACATATCTGGAGCCATAGGGGCATATTTGTACATAATTCTAGCCAGATATCTACATATGGGTATTCACTAGTTCACCCCTGGGTGGTAACCTTGTTCCAAATCAGTCTTAACTTTTCTTTTGTCTAGAGTTTCTTCTGGAGGCCAAGACTGGCTTAACTGAAGCCATGGTATCTCACAAAGTTTCTTGAGTGTCTTTGATCTTAATTTTACCCCAAAATCCCTCATAAAGCCTTTACCAAAGTTTTGAATCATACATTCAAGAACAGTTGGTTTAGTATTTGCATTTCCCCATGATCATTTGATATTCCCTTGTCTGGTGACAAAGGGTGAGTGTTGTTCACAAAGGAATGACCATATATTTGCCTGTCTGGCTGTGGGGCATCTTTGCTGCTTTCATCCTCATCTGAACTAAGGGACACTGTTGCATTAGTGTTCTGTTTTGTTCATATTAGACACTGGCTATGGAATTGCAGAAACAGGCCACACATAAGCTCCATGGTTTGGGGAGGGATCTTTAACATAAATGACCCCGCCTTTGTTTTGGTGCACAGATGAGACTACCTATTGTTTTTATAGCTCATTTCATTCACATGTACACACACAATCACACAAGAAGTCAATATATTCCCTCCCTGGGGCCCCTTAAAAAGTATAACAACAAATTGAGGGTATATATATATCCCCGCAGCCCAATCTGGGGCAAGTGAAAAACCTCACAAATGGCCAAGAATGGAGGGTGATCAGGTCTCCACTCTGAATCTTGCCCAAAATTGAACAGAGTCTGAAGCAAAAGCAAAGCAAACTAGGGATTGTGCAGGGAGTTCTCACCATTCAGAGAATCCTGTTCATTCAGTCACCCTCCTCCTGCTGTCTCTGTTCTGGGTTTGAGCGATCTGCTGCTGGTAAGCTGGCCTCTGAATCCTAGAAAGGGAACCCAGGAAATCCCAGGGGCATGCCTCTTCCCTTCTGAGGAGGCAGATGGCCGCTCCCTCTGGTGGCACTCAGGTTGAGGCCCAACATGGGCTGTGTCAGTTAACCCTTTCCTTCTTGGCCAATGCACCAAATTGTTTTGGAGGGAATTGGTAAATGACACACAGAGATGCAGAAGTGGGTAAACCAAAAATTTTTTTTACTTTGCTTGCACAGGGTCAGTCACTTGGCACAGGGTCAGGCTGACCCTTTGCTAGAAAAGTAAAATTTATTGTTTGTTTTTTGTGGTACTGGGAATTGAACTCAGGGCCTTGTGCTTGCGAACAAAGCAGGTGGTGGAACCACTGAGCTAAATCCCTGGTCCCTAACTTTGTTGTTTTACCCACTTCTGCATCTTTGTGTGTCATTTACTAGCTCCTTCTGCAACAGTTGAACTAGTTTACGTTCCCATCAATGATGTTGAATGGTCCCTTTATTCCCTGCAGCCTCGTGACTGTTTTTTGAAGTTCTTAGTGCTATGTGCTCTTTCTGGAATAAAGATGCTGTTTCAGTTTTCATTTCTCATTGGGCAAAATGTGAAACATTTCTTATGATATTTTATTGGCAATTTGTACTTCTGAGAAGTGTGTATTCATTTCACTTGCCTGTTTTTCCCAGGTATTGTTACTCTGAAGAGGTGATAGAAGGCATTTTCCAATTCCATATGTTACTTCTTCACTCTGTTGTTTGCTTCCATATCTGTACAGTTTTTGAATTTTATATAATTCTTTGTTTGTTGCATCATCCCACCTTATTTTCTACCAAAACCTCCAGGAACAGTATTGAGAGAACTGATTTTTTTCATGTCTTTATATTCAGACCAAGGAATGTCTGTCTTACTCACATTTCATTATGTTTTAACTTAAGATGCAGGCATATATATGGCTGCTTTGCAAATGAGATTATTTACTGAGCAACAGAAACATGGTTTGCAATAGTGATTTTTTTTTTCCTTTTTGGGGTACCAGGGATAGAACTCAGGATCTTGTGCTTGCAAGGCAGGCATGGTGTTGCTGAGCTAAATCCCTGGCACAATAGTGATTTTTTTATCCTATCATAGGTTTATCTTGTTAACCTAAACTTGTTTCTTTCTTTAGACTTAAAATGCAGTTATAAAGAGGACTGTTTCAGCTTGCTAAGGAATCCAGCTAAGTTGCCCCCCTCCCCTAATCCCAGCTTCAAAACCATGGTCACACTGTCTCAGCCTCTTCTGATGTTGGGACTAAAGGAATGCACCATTGCATTTGGTTTAGACCTCTATACATTAAGTGAGAAACAAACAAACAGATATGCATAGTGGTATTAAAATAATTTTGATACTGGGGAGTAAACGTAGGATTCCCAAATCACTGAGTGACATCTGTAGAACTCCAACATATATTTTGAGGCAGGATCTAAGTTGAATAGGCTGGCCTCAATTTTGTCTTCTTCTCATCTCTGCCTCCTGAATCGCTGGCATTGCAAACCTACATCACCAGGCCCAGCAAGATTTTTTTTCATGGTAAAATAATGGGAAGTTAAGTATGCTCAGGATAAAACATCTTGTAGTATCAACATTCTATCACAAGCTGGAATATCAAATGCACTGCAATATCTTCCTTGTGGGAAGTTGGGAACAGTTGTATGGTGGAAATACTGACACTATAATCTGCAGTATATTATATTCCATTAATCATATCAGATAGTTCAGAAATATTACACAACTGGTGAGTTTATGTGCCTAAGCATAATTAAGAATAGGGTAAGCTATAATGTTCACTGTGTGATGGGTATTTAAAAATGAATTGCTCACTTATGTTTTCATGATAGCATAAGTTTGTAATAATACAACCCCATCAGAAATTGAGCAGTTTTGTACTCAAGAACATTGTAAAAACATCTTACAAAATATTTAAATGTTTAAAAATACAGATACGGATACCAACCGGGACTCATGCACATACCTTGGGACAGTCTGTGTTTGAAGGTATTTGTCACATATATCAAACATCAGGCAGTGGTCCTTAAGAATGTTGACAAATGGCATTGTATGAATTTCTCTAAAATAATAAAACAATCTGAATTATAATTTTGTACATTATTATTAGGTAATAATGACTGAGGTAATAATAATACTCAGGACCTTGTGTTTGCAAGGGAGGCATGATGCCACTGAGCTACATCCCCAGCCCTAGTATATTCCACTTTTTAAAAAACTGATACCTCTCATGAAGCATTTTGCTTCATGCTATTATTTCAGCTTATTAGGTAAAAACAGTAATGATGGCCAGGCATGGTGGTGCTTGCCAGTAATCCCAGCACTTGGGTGGCTAAGGCAGATGATCACCATGAGTTTGAGGCCAGCCTGGATTATACATTTCAGAGAAATTACTATATTTCATGATATCCTTTTGGAGACAAGTTATGGTCCTGCTGGTCTGTGGCAATCAGAAGCTCACAGAACTTTGGGTTATTTTTGGTACATGTGGTGGAAAAATTGCCACCACATTAAAGAGTCATTGCAGTATAACCAAGAAAAGTACAGTTTTGATGGAAAGAAAACAAAATTTTGTGTAAGTTGTATTAGCTCTAATATGAAAGAATAGGCAGAATTATGTACATGATACAGAATATGATGTATCTTGTCACAATGTAAGAAACATAACATGGTAGTCTACAAGTTGTGTGAAAACAAATCAACTTTGTCAAAAACATGTTCTCAGTTCTCTGACAATATGTAACTTAATATAAAATACGGCATCAGATAGAGAGTATCCGATACACACCACAATTTTAAAACAAAGGTAGTGGCAAAATTTTAATAGTTAACAAAATTAACTTTTTTAGTAGTTTATACCTCCCAATTTTATTGTATTGGGTTGTGTGTGTGTGTGTGTGTGTGTGTGTGTGTGTGTGTGTGTGATTCTTTTGAGACAGGGTCTTGCTATATATAGTTTGTGTTGGCCTTGAACTTGAGGCCATCCTCCTGCCTCAGCCTCCCAAGTGCTGGGATTACAGGAATTCCCCACCATGCCTGGGTCTTCCTATTGTAAAGATGAAACAAAAACTGCATAAATATGAACTCTGCTTGAAAGTAAAAAATACATTTCAATTCATCATGATTAATTGAGACACTGTATTAAGCTCAAAGACACACAAAATACCTAATTGTCAACTCAGTATTTTTGTATTAAACACTGCAAATACATTCTCCAGATATTTAAGTGATTTACTAAATACACATAATGTATAGATATATCTGTGACTGTATTTTCTGAAAGTTTTATGTAGAAACATTGACATCAAGCTTTTTGTGTTATTCCTAAAGTTCTCTACTACACAAGAAATTTTCACAGGATTTTCAAAATAGGCTTACATATACAAAATACCTCCCCAGTGAGACTTCTTCCATGTATTTGACAATATATGTGTGTACTGAAAACATGCCCACAGTTTACGTACATATGGTTTCTCCTCATTTTGAGTTATTTTGTCTTTGGAAAACACCTGGAATTCTGAAGGCTTTTTCACATTGCTTACATATAAAGAATTAATGCTGAGTGAATTCTTTCATGTGCTTTACAGCCACTGTCGCTGTTAAGCTTTTCCACATTGCTTACATATATAGCGTTTCTCCTTAGTGTGAATCTTCATGAACTTTACAATGACTTTGTATACTAAAAGGTTTCCCACATTGTTTACATACATATGGTTTCTCCCCAGTGTGATTTCTTTCATGTATTTTACAATAACCTTGTGTGCTAAGCTTTCCCA